TGATAGAAAACAAATGCGTTAATAACAGTTAGAAATTCTCTTCGTAAAAATCGCTTTCTTCCATCCCGCAGTGGTCTCAAACAGTATGACAAAGTCAGTCATGTGTCCTTTAGAAGATCCACTCCATGTTAGCAAGGGAAGTCATATTTTTTTTCTTCCTCGAAATTCCGCACAAAATTGGCACCAGAATTGTCTGGGAGGATAGCAGCACTGGCTCCATATATCGGTACGCCACTAGGCCACCATAAGTTATTGTACAGGCCAGATATGGAGATTCAATCACCTCCTAACGACGTCTAATGAAGTCGAACGCTTGGCGCATCCCTCAGGGATCGATCAATGCCGAGAGCTTTCTCCTTTTATCATTTTTTTAATCATGTGCTGAGGAAAGCGATTACCTCTCCAATGCCGAAAGTAGTGAGCAACATTGCAAGCATCCAACACCATGAGCCCATCACAGCTGTCATATTTCCTCTATCTGTAAAACGATAACGAATTCATCCATGGCTGAAGTAACCTCCCACCAAAATCGTATTTCAGTAACTAAGCGTTAGTAAACACTCAAAGGAAACTCATTGAACACCCATTTCCTTTTGCTGTCAACATTGCGAAAATGCAGAAAAAAACTAGTGTTGTTGCTATGGAAGTTGTTTTGTGAACATCGAGCAATTTCTTATCCGTTATTATCAGCACCTATTCGCGAGTTCTTCCCTTGATAAATCCCTTTCTCAGTCAGTAGAGCTGTATAATTAAATTCCGTATATAACAATACCACTTTGATCGAACGAATAAACGAGGAAGTGGAAAACGGAAGCGTAGTTCCATAAGAAAAAACACATCGAATCACTCTGTACAGTAAGTCAGACCGTGATAATAAGTGCAAGTGATGGCGACTATTGAATGTTCGAAAACAAACGACGTTGATACGAATGGATGGCCTCTTCGCTGTAGACAGCCGATCGGAGAACATATGGGACAACTCGCTCTTGTTGTTGACTGCACGACAGCAAGCGACAGCAAGCGATTCGTGAACGAGCAGTAATGCTTCGAATGTCGCCCCGGGCTTGGCCTAAGTGTTCTCGAGTGCTCTTTGAAGAACACTTTTGCGACAATAATTCTACATAGCGAAGGTACCAAAACATTGGCGAAGGCCTCTACATGGCGAAAGCAGAATAACAGTTTTATACCAACCTAGTTTTGGCTCAGCCATATAGAACAGTCCCTGGTTATTGTTACAGAGGGTTTTCTGAAGGTCGCTTTTCAAGACAGTTTGGAAGTGCGTGTCCAAACAGTGCGGCGCGAGTTAACGATTTGGAAGTATGATCGTTATCATCAGTTCAGTGGTTCACAGAACTTTTATACTACACTGTACATATACATATATGGGAGCGCGTGCAGCACAGTGATCGGAGGCCCTCTATAATACATATTGAATCGAGCCCCGCGCCCTTGGCCCAAGCCTAGCGCTGGTTCGATACATCGCAAGGCCACCACGAGTCATTTTAAAGGCCAGATATGTACTCAATCACCTCCAACGATACTTAACGAAGTCGATGGTGTGGCGCATTCCTCGGGGATTGATCAACGCCAAGAACTTTATACTTATTTATCCGCATATATGTATATATATATTCATTCGTTAGCTAATGGAGAACGGATCAACGAAAGCAGCGTCGGGTCAGAAAATCCATTCCCTAGAACACCTGTGACACCATGCGTTTATCGTGTGAGCACACGCTGCGCTGCGGTTCGTCGGTTCGTCAACATGTCCACGCACTTAAGCCAACCAAGTACAGAAGTGCAAACCTGTCCAACTCCTACCAACTGGCGCTGGACTTCAGCAACATCCATTTATCTCTCAGTTTATCTCTGCACAACGTTAATGCACGTATATGTAGAGGCGACGGCGGCTGAAGCGAATTCTTCATCATCGGAAGGGACCACGACTCATGTTGTTACTCTGTTTGGAATCCTTGGAATCACAAACTCAAGCACGCATGCGCTTATTTCAGATTCGTTCCAAGAAAAATTTGTTTTTAATCAACAATCATACGGATGCTTGTTCTTACGACTCATTTTGGCTCTGATTTATTTGCTGTGATTTCATTTGATAGGATTGAGAACAAAATTGGAACGCACTCAGGATTCGAGATTGGCATGAGCAAACAAGACGCGTACGAGAAATACAGAAATATGATGGAAACACGTAAAAACGATGGAGCTTTGGAATGAATGTTATGAAACTAGCCCCAATAGGGTCCTAAGGTGAGGAAGGGTTGTCACAGTTGTTTCCACACGCGCCATCTTGATCGATGTTTATTCATAGTCGAACACATGGGAAATCAAAACATCCACTTTCTATAAACCTCGGCATAATAATCACCGTATCTATATATATGATCTTACGAACTTCCTTTTTTTAGTTGACGCGAGGTTAGTACAGATGTTCTTGTTGTTGTTCTTGTCTTTGTTCAATGGCTGACGCATCGGCGACTTCATCTTCTTCGAAGTCTGGACGTATCATGTGTCACTAGCTCCACAGTTCGGTGAGCCACATAGTATTAATGAAGAACCAGCATATGAAAAGACGCCAATTTCCAAAACCACCCACCATGCCGTTGGACCTCCATGTGTTGTTCACGAGGGTTGATGAGTGAGACCCACCCGCGGGGATGTGCATCAAAAAATCATTCCGAGATAAGGTGACATATCACGTGTGATAGTGATGCATTCCTCTTTTCGATTCAGTTTTAACTTTTGAAATTTATCCAAAAGGCTCCAAGAGTCTGGCACGTCGATGTTTTAGACTCCTGCGCTACGATCTAAATGTTCAATTCAAAATCATCACCATTGTGCTTTTGTGCTCTATGTGTACTCAGAAGTGTAGTTTGTCGAATTTTAGCTTTTTTGTCTAGGTGTTCTCTTATGCAGACACAAAGTCGTCTACCCGTTTCATTTGTTTAGTCCTCACCACATGTCTTACATGAGATTGAGTATATGAGTAGGTGAGCATAGACATGAGATATCAGTCCTCGATCTAGGGGTAATAGCGTTAAAGCGTCGTAATTTCGTTCGATTCACATAAATATAAGCAGTTCAAACCACGTTCTGAATGCTTCTTCCAACTCCAACTTCCAAGATTTTTCAACATGAACACTATGTAGAAATTTCAGGTTAGAAAAATAAATGGTAAAGCATTCGGCGTTGATCAATGGCTGAAAGATGTGTTATATATTCGATTCCACTCGTAGCACTGGGCAGTTATTTGGATGCATATCTGTACCATTCACAAAGGCCCTCGATATAACCAAGGTTTTTGTCCTCCCAAAGAAGCCGTTTATCACTTTGCCAACACCGGAACGACAGAAGGCTCGTTAGCTGGAGTCATGTGATTGAGACGACGACCACATGCGTCACATGCAGACCTCTTGCCACTGCGCAGCACGGCCGTGTGCAAGAAATCACTTGTGGAAAATGAGTTAACATCTTGTCAGTTTTAAAACAAAAAACTACATGCCCTTGAAAGTGGGTGTTGGAATTCCTCATAAAAGCGCTGCAATATCGTATTGCCTATGAAGTGATGAACCATTATTGTTTTCGTTTAGGAATTGTCATGGTAACCGTCATTTGTCTTATAAGAAGACAAAGATCGTAAGAAAGAATATTACACAGTCGAGTCGACTTTCTCACGTATAGTACGGCTATTCTCTTATTCTCTTATCAAAACTCTCTTCCACTGTCGTATTGGATACGACCATAGGACAATTCAGTCACAAGCCGATGGCACCGCATCGCTAATGTTTTTCGCATTTTTCAAGGTCTTTCTTCTATGTGCGACGAGGTTATTGTGAATAGTGATGAATCGCCAGCTTCATGATGTTTTCACAGATTCGAGGCATCATCTATAGATGTCGGCCAGCAACACGATGCTGTCCCTGTTTATGGTCGTTCACGTGGGAATGAAATCGCTTCCATGCAGCTTGTTTTGGTGAAATAATTGCTTTCAGACAAAGTTAGACTATCGTGGGCGAAATCTCAGGCTAACAGTTGTCGGTTCTCCATTTAAGAGAACGTATGGTGTAGTCCAAAATATCCCGCTGGAATTGTGCATTTTTGATGCAGAGCTCTTTGTACTAAGGGGAGTAATTTTGCTGGACTCCGCGCAGAGAAATCAAAACGCGAATTATCCATGCTGAAGTTAAACAGGAACTAGTATTAAGAAGCCCTATGCAGGTTTCCCGAATTTTTTCTCGTCTATAGGAATACAACTTCGATCTGGGGTATAATTACCACGATTACGTGCAGCGCGCAAGAAACCCCTTCACCAGAATTCTGGCAACTGCAAGGCTTAGAAATGATCAATGTCATTTTTCGGTTATGGTAAATAGTGTCACGTCTTGCACTACGTCTGATCTTCGAGAAAACAGATTTGATAAGCCAAGTTTATTTTGAGAAGTCTCACTAAGATCTCATTATGCTTTAGAACGCTAATCTTTTAGAAATCCTCAGATTCAAACAAAAGCTAGCAGACTATTACACCACACTACTGAAATAAATCAAGTTAACTCGTAAAGTAAAACCCGTTCATAACGATATGTCGACTTATTTGTCTGAGGGACATTATTATGCTGCACTGATGTGGTCAGTAGGACAGGCTAGTATAATTTTCCTCATAATGAACCCAACTACATAACGAGAAATTCATCTACATATGCCTGCTTGGATGGTTGGATGGTCTTCACAAGTAGTGCGAGCCCCAGCATGCGGATTCCAACACATCTTCCATTCGTTCCGTTCTTATGCAATCGTCATCCGTCGTAGTGGTTTACTCCGAACTTGGTGACGTCCGCAAGGCCCATTCTGTAACCCTAGAATCGTTTCCTTCGGGGAATTCAACTATAGAATGAAAAATTTCGCACTAAATATCATCCTTAATTCCGGTTTTTAATTGCAGACAAGAAAAAAAACAGCTTCTCGAGGAAAACGCAAGTGCATGTCCTTCACGCGACGGTTCTCATAAAAGTGCAAGTGTCACTCCGCTGCGCTCCGTTTCTGCTGTCCTTTAGCGGCTGGAGCAACACCAGCAAAATCAACGACAACAGCGGCTGCACCAACAACGACGACAACAACAGCAGCAGCAGCATCAGCTGGTTGCGGCGACTGCTATCGATCCGATGACGTTGCAGTTCGTACCCGCAAACGTGCATGTCAACAACCACATCAAGCGCTTTCATAGCCACTGAACCAGCCGCCTTGGAAACGAGTCTTTCCATGCATTTAACTTCAGAATCGTACTCTAGGGGACATACTCTAGCGAACGAAGGCCAGCTTATACTGCCTCTTTCCACCTCACCACATCAAATCTATATCTTCTTTTTTTTACAAAGATATTCTCCATTGCATGTAATCTTCCAGTCCGAACAATCCATGGGAAACCTCCCTTTTTTTAAAGGCGCCCTTATCGCCCTCACAGATTTTGTGACATGGTGCTTTTCATTTGAGACAAAATTAGCCTTTAGGGAGTCTTCCCCACTGTTTTGTCCATGAAAGTTGTCCTTTTGATGGTGAATTCCATCTACCAATTTCGTTATCTGTAGTGTAAATGTGTTTTACCTGTCGCTCCATTGCTTTCATCTTTTTTGTATTTTTCAACTGTTTTGTTCCACCTCTAGATATTCCACTCCTGTTTCCATCGCTGTTTTCCATACACAACCATTCTTGTAATCCTCTTATCGCATGACATTGCTGCACCTTGCCACCTCGAATAACTATTAGATTCTTTTCAGAGGTAATATTGAGGCAGAGATCCTAGATATTTAGACAGGAGCGAAATCCAGTTCGCACATGAGTCCTCACAAAGTCCTCAACTCTTCAGGTTTTCTTCGTTTTTTCCCCGGATTATTAAAACTCTCCCAACTTCTCATTTTCAGTTCTAGTTGTCTTTTGCCATTTCCATCACATGGCTTTGCTTTCAACTTCTTAATGTTTTCATTGGTCTCTTCTTTTATTCCAGGTTTAATAGATGTAATATGATTTTTTCGAATTTATCTTTATCTGGGGGTGTTTTTATCTTGACGACAAATGAAATGAGAGGAAGAATTCTCCACGTGATTTATTTGGTGAGCCATTTCCCGACCCCATTCCCGAGTTCAATGCAAGGCAGCGGCGCTGTTTGGAAGACATCGGGGCATGTTCCGTGCTGACCACAGAACCCCCCACTCCGGTGCGGTCGCCCGTCGAAGCTCGTCCGACACAAGCATTCATGATAAGCCCACAACTGTTCTTTTGACGTTTACATTTTTCCTCCAAACCAAATAAATTCTCCGTAATAATCCATTAAGTAGAAGCCACCATTTCGAAGAACTCTAGCATGTTTCTCGATGATGCACATTCTACCACACTTTTGTTGTTGCCTCTTGTTTACCTTTTGTCACAAGACTCTACACGACTGCAATCGGGAAATGACCGATTTGTTAGGAATAGTTAAAAATTTCCTCTTTATTTCCTCGTCTGTTGACTTGTGTCAGATTTATTCCTGTAGTTTGGCATATTTTAGTCCGATTTTTCACCCACTTTTATTCCCTGTAAATTTGTGGGATCGCTAAATCCTCTCTTGCGGCCCCATACATTGCTCGATTCGCTGTCATACTCTCCTCTAAACTAACAAGCCCTCGGAAAATCAAGAAAAGAGAAATCCTCCGTTTTGCGAAAGTGAGCTATTCTTTTGGACTACTAGTGGTATTCTAAAAACAGCTTTTCCACGAATACAATCCGAACCATTTTTTCCTTGAATTCTCTGTGGAACCTGAGAGTTACGGTAGAATTTTATTGTAAACATGCTTTTTGTTCTCGTAGTTATTACTTCCTACATATGCTCGAGACCTGCTTCACAAATGGGAGGAGTACCGTATCTTCTAGCTATTTCGTTCCTGTTTGCACGTTACATCTAAATTCATATCTTTTTGACAACTAACAAATACACGAATGTACTTCAAGAATACAAACACTGAAGCCATTCAGTTGATTGTATCGTAATGAACACATTCTCAAGCGTATGGATCATATGTGATTCATTTCCACAACCGCTTTTGCGGTACAGATTTTTCTAGTCGATCGATACCTCTGTGAACGTCGACCGGTGTCCTGGAAATCGGCTGATAGAAGCTATTCTTTTATTACTCAATAAAAATGTTTTCCGGACGAGCTTGTTTGTCAGTAAGAGACGGCCTCTGGTGAAGAGGACCTCTGCTCCACTCGAACACTGGTTTCTATACTTTGAACCATTCGTCACTTCGATCAGATAGGGAATCATTGAGGAACTTGTGTGAGTGTAACTGTATGATAGCATTTGTAAAATGTAATGTAGTCTATTATATTGGGCGTCACCATGTTTTCTCTTTAAAGGCCTGGGCGTTGACCAATTGTTCATGTTCTAAGCGTCATACTCAAAGAAATTTATTTTATGGGCGGTAATCTTACCTCAAGAATGTGGCTACTTATGGGCGTAGGGGAACTACCAATTTGAGGAAGACTGAAGTACACTTGTGTCTGGAGATCACTAATCCCATTCTTCTGCACATTTTCGTTATAGATCATTCACGAGTCGCCCATTAGATGTTTGCGTGACGAGATGGGAGAACAAACGAATCAAGGACACTTTGGTTTTCCCATTTATTATTACTACGCCGCTTTGATTTTGGTGCGCAGGCATCTGTTCTGTCCAATTTTTGCTAGATCACCTTCTTGGGAAGTCCCTTATAATTCCTCCTGCACGTGTAGACCAAGTGTGTCTTTCTGTGGAGCAATCTCCTACCCAACGAAACGCATGGGTACCACTTGTCAGTGAACACGTGCGTTTCCTAATCTAGTTAGTCGTCCATGAAGCTTGTCGCCATTGCCTCGACTCCACTGCTATTTTTGAAGAGACGTTTACTAGCCTACAGCAAAGTCTGTATGTGAAATCAGCTCCCGTGAAAAAACTGCAATACGTTATTCCACAGTCCTACCTTGGTGTGCATTGGTCGAATGCGAGTCGTTCTCTAAACAACATCAGGGTGCATTCCTTTTGCCGAGCCAGTTGTGGAATCTCTTGAAATTTCTGTTGACAGGTTCGGAAAGTTGTCTGGTCTTGTAGAACTCGTTTCGTCGTTCACAGTTGCATCGTTCGCCAAATGAAGGCGGGCGAACAGCGTTACAAATCTATTATGTGCAAAATCTTTTGTATATATAAATATATATATATATATCAAATCTGCTGCATATATATTGCATATAATATAATATAATATATAATGTATATGTACCATATGCCTTGACATGGCCTTAACTCCAATCGGACTTCTTGGTTAAACCGAGCTGGTGCTCCACTGTTGACCCTTAACGATGAAAATCCCACTATTCCCATCTTAAGACATGAATCTTTTCATCTCTTCTTCAGTTGTGGGCTGTGATGTAGGTTATGACAACTTTCTGTTGATAACATAAACTCGTGTTAGCTTGTCGTTGAAATAAGGTGGATTGGTCATTCACTTCAAGGTTAAGTGAAAGTCGGTTTACAATAGTATTTTTGTTAATAGTATCTGGGGTCTCCATTACAATCATTAATAATTCGAAAGAATACGATAATTTTGTGCAGCCATGCAGAAGTTGTTCATCAGCACCAAATTAACCGTTGCCGAAATTTAAAGTATTACGAGGTGCCGCATTACTTGATCAATCTTCGCTGACCCCGATTGTGAACTTGACCTTCGTCCTCACCATTGGATCCTTTTTCTTCATGCGCTACTTGGAAGTACAGTGGAGCCCTAGGCGTCCACGGTATCTGCATTGTCTTCTTGTTTAAATTTGGTCTGAGAAATCCATCGTTGGCGAAGGTCAACACAGAAAACGAGCGAGGCGTATAAAAGTCAATTTTTTAGTTATCATTCTTCCTATCCTTTATAATCCTTATAATGAATTGAATCACGAGTTTACAAAACTTTGGACCGAAGGTGTCTAGAGACAGGTGAAACGAAGACTCGTATGGTGTGGTGGTGAACCGGTGAACTAGCCCCAGTAAAGGGTAATAGCGCATTTGTTCCTCACCGTAGACACCTGTGGTCCGGAGTTTTACAAATACCTCAGCATCATTGTGATTGAGTCACACATAATACCTTGCCGCAAAATTGTATTAGGCAGTAAATAAAAAGTTAACATTGAACCAAAAATATCAAATGAAATCGATAGATATAAAAAATACTTATATGTTTATTAAAACTTCCAAATTTGCTTCATATATGTTGTGTAACTGACTACCAAAAGCCGATAGCAACATGGTTGAATGGTTGACGAGCTTTTTTTCTTCATACGAAAAATACGTGGAAAAAAACGCTGTCAGGAAAGCCCATAGAAAAATGAAATTGAGGAATTGGAGCGAAAAGTGCGATGAAACAGCGAGCCTCCCTCATTTGTTGGGAAGGTTCACAAAGCGAGTGCGAGCCACATAGGACTCGCAAGGTGTATAGTGACAAATGAAGCGTAGTCCGACATGACCTCAACAGAAGGTTGAAGAAAGTGAATTCTTTCTTAAAAAATGAACTATGGATTGAAGGACATTTCATCATTATCCAAGCAGTTTTTACATCTTTTAAACAGATACTAATCAAGAACCATTGCCACTCAACGGTGCTGAAGTTCCATACGAGCGATGTGTTCGTATTGACTTCGTGGGGTTATCGTGCTATTCCACAGTGATGGTAGTGCATGGACAACGCAGGCTGTTCCGGCTAGGATGCAGGCGCGACCGCTCACACTGACATCGGTGGCTTCGACACGCCTGACAGTGTTGCGTGCACGTAGCAGATAATTACTCTGTCGACGTAAGGTTATTGTGAAATCCTCTTCATTGACTACCTGAAATTTCCTGCTTTTTTCTGCTCCACTGAGTTTTTCGCTTCTATTTAACTGGTATGTCTCAAAAAAGCCGTTAAATGACGTAACTGGCAAAATGAAGATTTCATGAGAGTTTCCATCATCATCCTACAGTCAGATAATTGTGGGACATCTTTCTTTAAACCTGTCTGTAAAAATAATGATAGAAGAGCTCGTTGTTGTTTCTTCCAATCGTCTAGAGTTCTTATACAGAGCGGGTCTATATCTTCGTAAGTGAACGTAACTGCTTTTATGAAGTCCATGCGACAATCACTTTCGGAATACGGCTTGATTAATTTGTTCAGCTTCATCTGATTTTCAGTAC